GTAATGTATCTCTGGAACCTTTTTTTTTTTTTTTTTGGGAGAATCTCTGAACAAATGAGACTGAATCCTCTGCTTGAACATGGAAAGATACATCGAGTAGTGCAGCGAGCCCGTTGGCGAACGTTACCGTCGAGGTTCTGACAGGTTGGACGCGCCAGGCTTCACTTGTGCAAAGAAATTCTGATGTTCTTCCTTTACGTTGTTTTCTTTTTATTAAAAAAAAAAAGTCCAGGAAAAACGGCTGTCAGTTCCGTCGTTTTCTACTTCAGAAGTAATACTTGAGAGATGGCGACCCTCATCATGACTGAATCTGGCCTGCAAGAACCCTACCATACAGACTGCAACTCGTGCAAAGAAATTCTGATGTTCTTCCTTTACGTTTTTTTCTTTTTATAAAAAAAAATAAAAATTCCAGGAAAAACGGCTGTCAGTTTCTTCAAAAGTAATACTTTGAGAGATCGCGACCCTCATCATGACTGAATCTGGCCTGCAAGAACCCTACCATACAGACTGCAATTACCGTTGAGGTTCTGACAGCTTGGACGTGCCGGGCGACACTCGTGCAAAGAAATTCTGATTTTCTTCCTTTAAGTTTTTTTTATATAAAAAAAACATTCCAGGAAAAACGGCTGTCAGTTCTGTCGTTTTCTACTTCAGAAGTAATAAGAAGAGAACGTTTTGAGAAATCGCGACCCTCATCATGACCGAATCTGGCCTGCAAGAACCCTACCATACAGACTGCAATAACCCTACCATACACACAGAGTGTTACCCGAACTACAGGTTACTAAAAGCTTTCAGGCCAACGCGTGGCCTCCAAAAAAAATTTGGCTGCCCGTTTCTTATTTTACGCGAGCACGGGGCCGGGTCTACTACCGCCCCTCACAACTAGTTTTTTTTTTGGACCCCCATTTTTGGAGGAGCGCCGCATGCAGTGCGCGCACGTCGTGCGGGATGCGCGGTGCGGCGCATGTGCGCAGTGCAGCGCATCGCGATGCGCCGCAAGTATGCTATTTATCTATCTATGTGGCATACTGCGTAGCCACACGGGCCCTGCAGGGCCCGTCCCGCACTTGCAGCCTAAAAGCCTAGAAAATAGGGCTTACAGGCCCCGGTCGTTTCAGCCTGAAACTGAAAAACGAGGGCCTGCAGGCCCTATTCCGTTTTCAGCCTATTTCTGGGCCTTTCAGGCCCAGAGGCTTTTCAGCCTGAAACAGAGGGCCATTCTCAGGCCCTCATAAGATCGACCTACCCTAAACCTCAGGCACAAAACCAGGGTTTTCGGAACAGTCTATCTTTAGCCTGTTCCCACGACTGTCTTGAGCAGGAGCTGCAGCGGCAGCCCCTGACTGCCTTAGGCATCGGCAAGAGCAGCCTCCGGGGCTGCTGCCTTGCCTGCAGCCAGTCCAGGCCGAGTAGTACATAGGGGTTTCCCATGCACTTCCCAGGTAGGTAGTTGGACAGTAGGCACGAGTAGTCTTCAGGATTCGGCCGCAGCACTCAGGAGGACCGCTGCAGTAGTCTTCAGCACTAGCAGTAGTCTTCAGCGCTGGGCGCCCATAGCCGTAGGTGTAGTCTTCAGCGCTGGGCATTAGTAGGTGGTAGTAGTAGCGTTGGAGAGAGATGGCTGGCGGAGGCCAGCGGAACTTACCTGTGGCGCCATAGCTCCAGCTCCATCTTCGAGGTACCTGCATCAAGGCGCCAACTTCACAGGTTAGTACTGGACACACAGAGAGAGAGAGTTCTTCTTCTTCCTCTTCTAAGTCCACCATCTCTTCTCACCCTCTCACCCTCTCACCACCTGACTTCTCAGACTAGGTAAGACTACAATACGTAAATACATATTTCAAATCTTTTTTTTTGATTGACGATCGTGATAGTTGATTCCATAGAAACTCTTGAAAATCAATCATCAAACACATAGATGGGCGTCCCGCCGTGTTTTGCATGATTGAGTCTGTTTAGTTTGAAATCAAGCTCACTTGGTGAAAATGGTAAACACGACAGACTTAAGAGTTGTGACTTGAGACTTGACGACATTGGATCCAGACTCCACATTTGGGATTCAGACATTTTGACGAGGGACTATTTGGGCCTGTGCCGAAGACTTTGTGTTGACGACATTCCCATCTTCCCCTCCTCTTCGTTCCCTTCTTCTTCGTCTGTGTATGGTTGGGGCTGGCGCAGTCTTCCTGTGTGAGGCGCCAGACCCCTTTCACACCATGGAACGATGATGATGATGTATGTTCAGGGTTGCATTGCAATATTGATTGTTCGGTTCATTGGTATCTAAGTCTTCCGCTACGCTATCTTGTACTTTGTATGGAGAGGTCGGTTCTTGTTCTGGTCTGCACCGTTACAATATGCAACAGTTTGGTATCGGAGCGGACCTCTCATTCAGAGGACCAGCTCAATCAAGTAGCCAGCTTGCTTGATCTATTGATCACTCATTAGTAAATCAAGTAGGACTTCGTCAAATCTCTGAATTTTTTTTCTCGCAACAACTATCTGAAAATTTTTGATATTCGCATTTCGTTTTACCTGAAAATTTTTGATATTGGTATTTCGTTTTCACGTAACAAATATCTGAAATTTCTGATAAATCGCATTTCGTTTTGTCTGAAATTCCTGATAGTAGCATTTTGTTTCTCTGATATTTCGCATACATAGCTGAAATTTCTGATGTTAGTATTTCGTTTCCTAGGCATATTGGGATAACGATAGAAGTGGTCATATTCTCGGAAACTGGAATTATTCTTTTCTGAAAATCGAATTTCCATTCTATCCCGCAAATTTTTTTTGAAAACTGAAATCTTGTGAAGCCTACCAACATTTCGATAGGCATATTCGGAGGTTGCCATATTATCAGAAACGGGATTTAGTTCTGTTCTGAAAATCGCATCTCTATTCTAGCTCGCAATTTTTTTTTCAAAGATCGCATTTTGTGAAAGCCGAAACGTTGTGGAACCTAGCCTAGAGCTCGTTCATAGTACTCTTCTGACATGTCTCACTCATAACAGATCGACAGATATACAAAAAAAAAAAGAAAAAAAAGGAAGTAGTCAAAAAAAAATTTTGATTTTTTTTTTTTTTATCTGTTGATTAGGGCCGGGAGGAAAGTATTGTTGGGTTGGTTCCCTACTTGCGTTTTCCCTCCCCACCCACCCTTTGCATGCATTTCCGGGTTGGTACAGTGCCACGTCAGCAACAGTGCCACGTCAGCAATGCCACGTCACACAGTGCCACGTCATCATTGCCAAGCAGTGCCACGTCACACAGTGCCACGTTAGCAGCGCCACGTCAGCAACAGTGCCACGTCAGCAGTACCACGTTAGCAGTAACAGTGCCACGTCAACAGTTCCCCGCCACCATGACGTGCGCAGCTCTGGGCATGCCAGGCCAACTGGCCAACGAGTCTCTTGCCGACTACAAACAGCGGTTCCAGGCTCAGCTCGCTCTGATCGCGGCTGAGGAACAGCGCCAGCTGGCAGCCGAGGCTGCCCGCCTACGGGCTGAAGCAGCGACAACAACTGAGAAGCAGCGACTACGAGCAGAAGGAGACGCAGATGCCCAGGCACGTCGCAAGGAAGCCCAGGATCTGCTGTGACGGCATGAAACTGCCAGCATCGAAAGGCTCAAGTTCTTGGCACTTTCAACCGTCCAACGGCGACGACACGACATCGGAAGATCAGCATAAGGAGTTCCTCTCCAAACTCGTGACACGATTGTTGTACGCTTGCAACTACCAACAGTCCGAGTTAGAGAGACAGAACCAGGCACTGCAGCAATAGTACGAGGATCTGAAGACACAACACAAGGAGTTGGCGAACCTCCGTCGGATAGTGCAGAGCCACGAGGATGCTACACGGGCTCTCAATTCCCGTGTACTGGACCTGGAGCAAGCCGTACCAGGACCGGATGCTGGTGAGTCCAACAATGCACCCTATAACCGCCAACTGGAGCAACGCGTCGACCACGTCGTCGCAATGCTCGGCGACATCAGCACCTTCGCTGCGCCGACCACCATCAGCAATCAGCTGGATACTTTGAAGACCGAGGTCCAGCAACTGCAGTCGACGAACACGGATGGCAACAATCCAAAGCAATACAAGATGCCAACTTTTCAACTTGAGAAGTTCGACGACTACACGCATCAGGACCCGGTGCTCTGGTGGGAAGCTTTCACGACGCAACTTCGGATTCTGCTTGTCGCCAAGCACGCATACATGGGCGCTCTGTTCATGAACTCAAAGGGCGGATCTGGTTAACCCACCTGGTAGCCACCCACGACGTCGACGTCGTAGATCTGAGAAACAAGATCACATGGGAAGAGTTAACACGACTGTGGAAGAAGCCGTTCATCGTCGACGACGCACCAACACTCGCCATCAACCGTCTCTTCACCATGACTCAAGGCAACACGGCAACACGTGACTGGCTCACAAAATGGCAAAAGATCGCGGCAACGCCCGATCTTGACTTACATTTCCGCATATGCGCCGTGAGTTCTACAACAGGTCATGCACTGCATTGAGCCAGGCACTTGGTGATTGCGAGTAGTATGCAACTTTCGTCGAGATTATTGACAAGGCGAGAGAGATCATCAAGACCAATAGGGCGGCTGCACACGAGAGGTCAACATGGCAGCCGACCTATGTGGAGAAGGTAAAGACCGGTCCACGGCGGCAACATGTCGGTGCATGGTATAGACAATTTAGAGTTAGGTTTCATAAGGATAAATAAGCTCAAATTAGTTAAACGCAAGTCAACTTCGGAGACTTCCATTACTCCACAGTTCGTTGTGAAATCTCCGCCAACGCGGCCTGTGTTTTACATATGATTTTCTTTGTTAACAGGATGACCCGGCAGCCACCCAAGCGTCACGTGAGGGAGATCAGGTGGCTGCTGTCCAGCCGCAAAGCAACAACAAGTCCCGAGGTAACGGGAAGGTGAAATCAGCATCGCCGACCGAAAATGGACAGCCTGCACCACCATGGGTCAAGTTCGGCTTGACCGAGGCCGAGTACAAGTACCGCGACCGTTACGACTGCTGTTAGTGGTGCAACAGCACCAAGCACAAGACCTCCCTTTGCCAGGATCAGGCCAAGGAGGATGTGCGGCCTCGTCTTAACTCGGGAAACTGAGTTTCGCGGGAGGTGAGGCGACTCCACCTCCCACTCCGTCAGATTCGACTGCCTTGCTAGCGGCCTCCTACACATCTGGGGAGGATGCGAATGTCGCAAGTTCTCGATACACTTACGAGGACTATGCTGTCCACTTGGTGCCACCGTTGGACCAACCGCTCCACGTGCAACAATCTACCGCATGCACGGTTTCATCACGATCGACAACCAATTCGGCAGCTTCGCCACAATCTATCGCCAGGGATTTGACGTCATGGTCAAGACTTGAAGAGCTCGACCCGTTGACGTTCACGGACTTCCAGTCGATGCCCATTCCCCCGACCGGTCGATTGCCGAAACCGCATTGCAACGTGCTCATGGCACAATTGCGGGATTACTTGCACACTGCAGTACCGACTCCGTTGATGGACGTCGGAGTAGAGGTTGTCGACCTTCACGCCTACATTGCGAAGATCGACCGCGAGTTCAAGACGCAACGGTACGACGACATTGACGCACCATTGCTATACATACGCATTCAGATCGGAGAGGCGACCTGCAACGCTTTGATCGATTGCGGAGCATCTTGCAACTACATCAGCCAGGACTTCATGGTGCGCGCCGGCCTTGGCCCACGTGTCCGGAGGAAGTCCCAGCCTACGCAAGTCACGCTGGCGGACGGTCACACACACAAGTCAATCGACCGGTGCATTGATGACGTTCCAGTGAACTTTGCCTCTCACGCAAGTGAGGCGGTGTCCTTTGACATTCTGGACACCAAATTCGACATGATCTTGGGCATGTCATGGCTGCAAAGCGAGGATTACCCGGTGAACTTCTACTACCGCACCGTTCACATTCATGATTGGAACGGAGTACTAGTCCCATGCACGGTGCCTCTTCCTCATCCTTCGATCAGCTGCCACATGGTATCCGCCGAAAGCATGCGAGCTTCCATCATCAGAGACGACATCGAGGAGATGGGGGTGTGTTTTCTCCACCCCCTCCCGCCCCATGACGCTTCATCGACGGACTCTTCTTCGGATCCACACATCACCGAGCTTCTCGACGCCTACTGCGACGTGTTCGAAGGCCCGCACGGAGCAGTAGCGGATCGGCCCATCCGCCACGAGATCATCCTCGAGGACGTGGCCGTACCTCCGTGTGGTTGCATCTACCGAATGAGCGAGGAAGAGTTAAGTGTGCTTCGGGCACAACTCGACGACCTTCTGGAGAAAGGTTGGATTCGGCCTAGCTCATCGCCATACAGTGCGCCTGTTCTCTTCGTCCGGAAGAAGAACAAGGATTTGCGGTTGTGCATCGATTATCGCAAGTTCAACGCGCAGACGATCAGAAACGCTGGCCCTCTCCCACGCATCGACGACCTTTTCGAGCGATTGGGGGGCGCCCAGTTCTTCTCTAAGTTGGATCTCAAGTCGGGATATCACCAACTCAAGATTCGGCAGGAGGACCGCTACAAGACCTTGGCCCCGATATGGGCCAGATGTCCAACACGAGAATGGATCCTCTTTTTTTTGGGGGGGGGGGGAGGAATAATGGAAAGATACACTACCAAAATGTTTTTCCTTTGACGGCGTGATCATTGAACTCACCACCTCTTTGCAATTCAAAATTGTAGTATTTTGCTCATCTGTTGTATGTATCCCGCCACGGTTTAGTCCAGAAATAAGGTAAAACGTTGACCATTTTTTGATTTATGTGACATCCTTGCTCAGGGGCCATCCTAATCTTTTTTGTAAGGACTAGCTGGTGCGTTCGGGTTTGGCTTAGTGTTTTTTTTTTTTTTTTGCTTTTTTTTTGTGCAAAACCCATAAGACTTAACACCTTCTTTTGGTATCTTTTTCTCTCTACTTTATATCGGGCCCACCGTAATGGGCGGATGCGGACTCAGGGGCGCGCCGCCCAGGTAGGGGGCCCGAGGGAGGGACGGGCTCATGCGGTGCCACACAGGACCAACGAGGAAGGACGGTTCTAGGGCGGGGTTCGGTTGACACTTGCGAATTGGAGACCGCAAGGGATGGACCGAGGAGGACAAAGGGCCACGATCGCCTGGAAAAAAAAGCGAGGCGGTGTCTTTTGGCTGCGGGGGTAGCTGCATGGCGGTGTCTTTTGGTTGCGCGGGAAGCTGCATGGCGGTGTCTTTTGGCTGCGGGGTTAGCTGCACACGTGCGAGGTGAGGGCATGAGTGGAGGCGCGAACGTGGTCATCGTTCGGTGGCTCGCGCTGTGTTTGCAGTGTGACTCGC